GCAATTCCTCATGGGGAGCTTAACCACCTCCCATCTGGCCCTTGTATATAAACAGCCGGACGGGAGCAGTGCAGGGGCAGGTGGCAGTTAAACGGCCTCCCCACCCCCTGCTTGTGCGCGCTCCCTGGGAGTGCGAAGCACCAGGATCTGGTGCCCGCCGTGTTCTCCGGACACAGTGGAACACCGATCATCGTATGGGATCTCTATGCGAGGTCCCAATCATGTGATCACTGATTGGCCAATCAGTGATCACATGCAGAGTAGTAAGCAAGGTGTCACTTCTGACATCATTGCTTACTATGTGTGAAATCTGTGAATTATCACAGAGGTCACATGGTACAATGCTATTCACAACAGCCTTGTACCATGTGACAAGCTGTGACCAATCACAGCTCACACAGTATTTCTCAATGGGAGCAAGAATGCAGCCAGAGAGAAGGAGAAATGATTGCTTTTACACCCATAAAGGATGTAAAAGCAATCAGTGTACAAAAAAAAATAAATCTTCAGCACCCCCCACAAGTAGTACAGTGTCACCATGGTGACACTGTACTGCTAGGGTGACAGTATGTAAAAAAACCCCATAAATAATAATATAAAAAAATAAAATAAAAATATAAAAAAAAATTTAAAAATTATAATTTTTGGTTATAAACTAATTTGGGTTATTTTTTTTTTTTTGCTAAAAAGATAACTGAATACATTTTGGCCAAGATTTTGATGAAATATTATTTATTTGCAAAATTTTTTTTCTAATTTTTTTTAAAAGAAAAACACTTTTTTTTCAAAATGTTTGGACTTTTTCATTTACTGTATATAGCAAAAAATAAAAATCCCAGTGGTGAATAAATAACACCAAAATAACGCTATATCTGTCTCAAAAAAATGCTAAAAAATTCATATGGGTACAGTGTTGCATGACCGCGCAATTGTCATTCAAAGTGTGATAGCGCTGAAAGCTGAAAATTGGCCTTGGCAGGAAGGGGGTAAAAGTGTTGACTTGAAGTGGTTAAAGCGGAGTTCCACCCAAAAGGAGAAGTTCCGCTTTAAAGATTGGTCCCCCGCTTCCCATAAAGGATTGGCACCTTGGGGAGAGTGGGGGGGTAACGGGTACCTGAATTTGACAGGTACCCACTCCCACTTCTGCTGCAATCGCCTGAGTGATCGGAAAAGGAAGTTGTCCTCCTACCCTCCCTCCCCGTAGTCTTGTGGGACACATGACAGGTCCCAGAAGACGACGGGGCCATTCAGGAAGTGCATGTGCAGTGGGCACCCAGCTGTGAAGCTGCAATCTATCACAGCCAGGTGTCTACACTGAAGATGCCAACCTCCTAGAATGCAGGTGAAACAGGCTGCTGCGGTGGGGGCAAAGCGGGATTGTTGGACATGTAAGTGGCTGTTTTTTGAAAGTCAGTAGCTACAGTGTTTGTAGCTGCTGACTTTTATTTTTTTACAGAGTGAGTGGAACTCCGCTTTAAGTACTTAAAGCAGAACTTTCCCTTTTGGGGATAATAGAAAATAAGCTAACCACACCTTTAGTTCCTATTTGGCCATATGTCCAATTGTAGGACTAGAAGACAATCCCAAATCTATGCATTACAATTATGACAATACAGTGCAGATTATGAAAAAATAAAAAACTCTCTTTCTGTGTCAAGATATAGCAAAACTATTCAATCTTCTTGCCATATGTGACCTTTTATCACATTGTATCTGTATTAAAATAGAACTATAGGCAAAACTTTTTTTTTTTAATTTGGCTATAGTAAGGGAGGGTTATAACCCCTGCCAGTTTTTTGCCATCTGTGTCCCGTTGGGGAGATTTCCCTTCACTTCTGGTCCCATAGTCAAAACAGGAAGTGAGAGGAAATCCCTGCAAAGTAAGGGAATTCCTTGGGGACCCCCAGGTCACCAGAACTAGTGTCCCCACTGGAAGATTTGCCCTCTATTACTTTTCTGGGAACAACCCAAAATTTGGTATTTTCTTTTACTTTCACTTTCAGTGATAAATAGAGAGGTTGAATCTCCCTAGTGGGGGAACAGACAGTCATAAAAACTGACAGGTGTTCTAATCCCTCTCCACTCTATCCAAAACTGAAAAAAAAAATGTTTTGCATTTAGTTTACTTTAATACCTACATGAATGTATTTGTAAAAATCTTCAATATAATAAAATAAAATTTAAAAAATGGTGTAGGCAATGAACTAATATGAATTTGCAATATATAAAATGTATTCAGTTACTTTGATGTTTTTAGGTTTTTTTGTCAGATAATTCTGAATCATTATTTTGTGTTTGTTTGTTTCTTTCTTTAAACTGACCAACAGAAATAGACTTTTTACTGTCAAAATGAAAACGGATTCCTCAAACATGAACAATGAAAAAACATAAAATAACTGACTGTGTATGTATAACACCTTCACCAAGTTAGTATTTAAAGTGTTACTAAACCCAGGACCCTGCATCCACTATATATGGTCTCCCACAGTACACAGAACATGGAAGTGCAATTATTTTAGTAAATATAAACTGCTAAATACCTTTTCTCACCAGAAATTTGAGCAGTCTTGTGGTTTTTATCTGTGTTCAGCCAAGCACTAGCTAAGGCTTATGGGAGGAGTTTTCTTTCTTCTCTAGGAGAATACAAATACCCTGACCTCTGTCTGGTCAGTGCTGATTGGCCCTGTGCTGATCGCATGCACTCTCCCAAAACCTCTCTAGCAATACACACCAAACTGAGCATGTGCAAAATGCCTACAGTTCAGTCTGTCTTATCAGGAGATAAGAGGTGGTCGCTTAAACAAGGGGAGGAACAGAGCAATCAGTATCAAACGGCATTTTTACACAATGCAGAGGATTAACCCCTTAAGTTCCACAGTGAGTATAACAAGCATGCTTTACTCTATATACAGACTGATTTTACTGTTGTAGGTTTAGTAACCTGAGGACAGTAAAAGCAGTCGGTTGAGCTGCTTTATTATTGCCCCTCAACCACCTGGCTAGAAAAGAGTATGCAGTCTCCCAAGGCCGTTCATATGCCATGGGCGAAATCAGGGGCAGACTGACAACTCATGGGGCCCCCGGGCAATAGGGGATCATGGGGCCTCTGTGTCCTTGCCCAAACTCAAAAAAGCCTATGAAAAAGGTACCAGAGGCATCTCATGGGACCGCCCACTGACCCCGGGCCCTCGGGCAGTGCCCGAGTTTCCAAATGGTCAGTCCGCCCCTGGGCGAAATGCTTTCCATCTGCAGCTCATTATATTGGATAGGCTACTACCATCCTACTGAATGTGACCCATTTAAGTCTATAGGGCCATACCGCAACTACCCTGCAATCATGTGCAATGCACATAGTTGCAGCATGTCGGTTCAGCCTTTTGTATTAAAAAGGAGGTGAGGAGGTGACACATAGCCTCCCAGTCACCTGCCAACCACCCTCACAAAAGCGATCCACCGCTCAATTACTGCATTCCTCCTCTAACTCCTAATCATGTGGTAAATGCCAGGCATTTTCATATAGCTCATCTTTCTTCTCAACTATGAGAACAACAATATCAGAATCATGCTGGGGCTCTTCAGCTTTCACATTGTAGGACTTTGTAAAACAAGCTGAATAGACATTTGTATGAAGCAGATCACTATTACAGCACTTTTTGTGATGTTTTCAGTGTAATATCTACTGAGTTTCTTTTTTTCTAGATGAAATAGTCAGCTATTTTAGAAAAATGACATCAATGGTCTATTTTTCAAAACATTATGCATGGGAGATTCAGTGTCTGACACCTTAGTTCCATGCATTACTGAAACTGCCTGAGAATTACGCTGTCTTTTTTCTCAGCAAGGCAAAATTTTATGTGTGAAACAAAACACTGTATTAAATAAATATATATATATATATATATATATATATATATATATATATATACACATACATACACAGTGCTTGTCATAAATGAGTACACCCCTTTTAAAAAGTAAGATTTTAATCAATATCTTAATGAACACGAGAATAATTTCCAAAATTTTGACAAAACTTAGTTTTATAGAACATTTATTTAGCTCATTACATGAAAGCAAGGTTAATAATATAACTTAGATTACAAAATCTTCAGTTTTATGCAAAAGTGAATACATCCCACAACAAAAACTACCAGTATTTTGTTTAACTTGCATGATTTGTAAGGACAGCACCAAGTCTTTTACTTCTATCTTTTTCCATTCTTCAAGAGTGTTCTAGAGCCTGGATGCTGGATGGAGGATGATGCTCAACATGTCTCTTCAGAATTCCCCATAGGTGTTCGATTGGGTATATATCAGGAGACATACTTGGCCACTGAATCACTTTCACGCTGTTCTTCTTCAGAAATGCAACAGTGGCCTTAGATATGTGTTTTGGATCATTAAGTTGGAAAAGTGCATGATAACGGCATTATAGCATCTTCTCTTTCTATACAGAGAAGTACATCTGTGAATTCATGATACCATCAATGAAATGCAGCTCCCTGACACCAGCAGCACTGATGCAGCCTTACAGCTATTGAGATATTTATTAAAATCTTACTTTTCAAAAGAGGTGTACTCATTTATGCTGAGCACTGTATATATACACTTTATTGCCAAAAGTATTAGGACACCTGCCTTTACATGAACTTTCCAGTCTTAAGCTTTCCAGTCTTAGTCCGTCGGGTTTTATATTAAGTTGGCCCACCATTTGCAGCTATAACAGCTTCAACTCTTCTGGGAAGGCTGTCCACAAGGTTTAGGAGTGTGTCTATGGGAATATTTGACCATTCTTCCAGAAGCGCATTTGTGAGGTCAGGCACTGATGTCGGACAAGAAGACCTGGCTCGCAGTCTCTCCTCTAATTCACCCCAAAGGTGTTCTATCGAGTTGTGGTCAGGGCTCTGTGCAGGCCAGTCAAGTTCCCCCACCCCAAACTCACTCATCCATGTCTTTATGGACCTTGCTTTGTGCACTGGTGCGCAGTCATGTTGGAACAGGAAGGGGCCATCCCTAAACTGTTCTCACAAAGTTAGGAGCATGAAATTGTCCAAAATGCCTTGGTAAGCTGACACCTTAAGAGTCTCCTTCACTGTAACTAAGGAGCTAAGCCCAACCCCTGAAAAACAACCCCACATCATAATCCCCCCTCCACCAAACTTTACACTTGGCACAATGCAGTCAGAGAAGTACCGTTCTCCTGGCAACCGCCAAACCCAGACACTTCCATCAGATTGCCAGACAGGGAAACGTGATTTGTCACTCAAGGGAGCACGTCTCCACTGCACTAGAGTCCAGTGGTGTTGTGCTTTGCATTGTACGCTTTGCATTGTATTGGTGATGTAAGCCTTGGATTCAGTTGCTTGGCCATGGAAACCTTCTGTGCACTTCAGCATGTGCTGACCCCGCTCTGTCATTTTATGTGGCCTACCACTTCGTGTGCTGAGTTGCTGTTGTTCCCAGGTTCCCAGTTGCTTCCACTTGTTATAATACCACTAACAGTTAACCGTGGGATATTTAGTAGCAAGGAAATTTCATGGATGGACCTGTTGCAGAGGTGGCAACCTATCCCGGTACCACACTTGAATTCACTGAGCTCCTGAGAGCGACCCATTCTTTTACGAAAGTTTGTAGAAGCAGTTTGCATGCCTAGGTGCTTGATTTTATAAACCTGTGGCCATGGAGGTGATTGGAACACCTAAATCCAATGAATTGTAGGGGTGTTTCCCAACACTTTTGGTAATATATATATATATATATATATATATATATATATATATATATATACATACACACACACTGCTCAACAAAATTAAAGGAACACTTTTTTATCAGAGTATAGCATCAAGTCAATTAAACTCCTGCAATGTTGATCTGGTCTATTAAGTAGCAGAGGGGGTTGTTAATCAGTTTCATCTGCTTTGGTGTTAATAAAATTAGCAACAGGTGCACTAGATGGGCAACAATGAGATGACCCCCAAAACAGGAATGGTTTGACATTTTGTTTCCCTATTTATCTTTTCTGACTTTTTTTTCCCTAGTTTTGCATTTGGCTGGGGTCAGTGTCATTACTGGTAGCATGAGGCAATATCTGGACCTGTGCAACAGAGGTTGCACAGGCAGTCCAACTCCTCCAGGATTATACATCTATACGTGTAATTGTCAGAAAGTTTACTGTGTCTCCCAGCACAGTTTCAAGAGCATGGAGGAGATTCCAGGAGACAGGTAGTTACTCTAGGAGAGATGGATAGGGCTGTAGAGGGTCCTTAACCCATCAGCAGACCAGTAGCTGCTCCTTTGTGCAAGGAGGAACAGGATGAGCACTGCCAGAGCCCTACAAAATGACCTCCAGCAGGCCGCTGGTGTGAATGTCTCTGTTCAAACAATCAGAAACAGACTTTATGAGGGGGGCCTGAGGGCCCGACATCCTCTAGTGGGCCCTGTGCTCACTGCCCAGTACCATAGAGCTTGATTGGCATTTGCCATTGAACACCAGAATTGACAATTATGGAACCCTGTGGTTGTCACAGATTTCACCCTGAGCACATGTGACAGACATGAAAGGGTCTGGAGAAGCTGTGAGGAACGTTATGCTGCCTGTAACATCATTCAGCATGACCCAGGCATATCCATGGAGGGACGCACAGACCTCTACAGGCTAGACAATGGCACCCTGACTGCCATTAGGCATTGGGATGAAATCCTTGAACCCATTGTCAGCACATACGCTGGGTTCCTCCTGGGGCATGACAATTTGGCCTCATGTGGCGAGAGTATGCAGGCAGTACCTGGAGAATGAAGGGATTTATACCATTGAATGGCGCCCGTGCTCATCTGGCCCTAAATACAATAGAACACCTCTGGGATATCATGTTTCGGTCTACCGATGCCGCCATTGCACCTCAGACTGTCCAGAAGCTCAGTGATGCCCTGGCCCAGATCTGGGAGGAAATATCCCAAGACACCATTCGTTGTCTCATTAGGAGCATCCCCCGACATTGTCAGGCATGAATACAAGCACATGGGGGCTTACAAACTACTGAGTACCATTTTGAAGTGCTGCAATGAAATTTCAGCAAAATGGAGCCTGTTGCAGCATTGTTTCAGTTTGATTTTCAGGGTGTCTTTGAATTCAGTCCTCTGTAGGTTGATAATTTTCTTGTTCAAACATTTTATTGGCTTTATAACATAGGAAGAGGGACATTTACAGTAAGCATTAGACATTATATTGACAGCAAAATACACTTTATATAGAGGGGGAGAGAAAGAGTCAAGAAAACAATGCAGCATATCTTATGGTGTCAGTAAATAAAAATTATTAGCAAGAGGTAGTAACATATCATAAAGAGTTTGATCAGTGGGGGTAAAGACTCTCCAGAGCTGCGTGAGGGGTTAGGGATAGACAGAGGAGGACCGAGGAGGGAGGGGAGAGAGAAGGGTGACGGGGATGACTCCATGATTAGGTTGATAATTTTCATTTCCATCAAACGATGGGTTATCCACACATTACCCAGACTGTGTCAGTATAGTATCCAGCATGTTTTTTTTTTCACATTGAGATCTGATGTGTTTTCAAAGTTTTTTCCTTTAATATTTTTGAGCAGTGTGTGTGTGTATATATACAGTGGGGCAAAAAAGTATTTAGTCAGCCACCAATTGTGCAAGTTCTCCCACTTAAAAAGATGAGAGAGGCCTGTAATTGGCATCATAGGTAGACCTCAACTATGAGAGACAAAATTAGAAAACAAATCCAGACAATCACATTGGCTGATTTGGAAAGACTTTATTTGCAAATTATAGTGGAAAATAAGTATTTGGTCAATATCAAAAGTTCATCTCAATACTTTGTTATATATCCTTTGTTGGCAATGACAGAGGTCAAACGTTTCCTGTAAGTCTTCACAAGGTCTGCACACACTGTTGCTGGTATGTTGGCCCATTCCTCCATGCAGATCTCCTCTAGAGCAGTGATGGGGGCTATCGCTGGGCAACACGGACTTTCAACGCCCTCCAAAGGTTTTCTATGGGGTTGAGATCTGGAGACTGGCTAGGCCACTCCAGGACCTTGAAATGCTTCTTTCGAAGCCACTCCTTCGTTGCCCGGGGCGGTATGTTTGGGATCATTGTCATGTTGGAAGGACCCAGCCACGTTTCATCTTCAATGCCCTTGCTCATGGAAGGAGGTTTTGCACTCAAAAATCACACGATACATGGCCTCATTCATTCTGTCCTGTACATGGATCAGTCATCCTGGTCCCTTTGCGGAGAAACAGCCCCAAAGCATGATGTTGCCACCTCCATGTTTCACAGTAGGTATGGTGTTCTGTGGATGCAACTCAGCATTCTCTCTCCTCCAAACATGACAGTGTCTACCAAACAGTTTCTATTTTGTTTTCATCTGACCATATGACATTCTCCCAATCTTCTTCTGGATCATCCAAATGCTCTCTAGCAAACTTCAGACAGGCCCGGACATGTACTGGCCTAAGCAGGGGGACATTGCACTACAGGATCTGAGACCCTGGCGGCATAGTGTGTTACTGATGGTACCCTTTGTTACCCAGCTCTCTGCAGGTCATTCACTAGGTTCCCTCGTGTGGTCCTGGGATTTTTGCTCACCGTTCTTGTGCTCATTTTGAACGGGGTGAGATCTTGCGTGGAGCCCCAGATCGAGGGAGATTACAGTGGTCTTGTATGTCTTCCATTTTCTAATTATTGCTCCCACATTTGTTCACACCAATGAGCCCAGGTCTACAAGTTTCTGGTGTCCCAGCTCTTTGGTCTTCACCATAGTGGATGGGAGTGTGACTGTTTGAGGTTGTGGACAGGTGATAACAAGTTCAAACAGATACAGGTAATGAGGTGGGACAGTGGAGCCTCTTTAAAAAGAAGGGCCAGGTTATTATTTTCCACCATAATTTGACATTCTTTCAAATCAGCCTATTGTCTGGGCCCTGATGCTCATCTTTTTAAGTGGGAGAACTTGCACACTAAATACGTTTTTACATATACAGATATGGAGGTTTTAGCTCAGTGGTAGATGCATTTCAGTGAATCCATGCCAGTCTGAGCTGTAATAAAAAAATGTGTAAGCCCAACATTTCAAATTCCTGATATGTGCCTGCTGAGGGCATGTACTTGTATACAGTTAAAGAGTATCCTGTTTTCTTTGTATTGCTTCCTTTTGTGTGAAATCCCTGGTGTTTCTGCCAGTCCCTGTTTTCCTATTTGAAACTGACCACACTAAGCATAGAAGCATGTCCTTCCCAATGGCCTGTTTTCCGGCTGTGTTGAGAACTCAACCTTTTCCCCCCCCCCCCCCCCACACACACACACACACACACAGCCATTCACTTGGAAGATCAATGTGCTGCTGTCTATCCACCCCCAGATCTCTAAGTGCCTTATGCAACTGAGAACAAAGGGTATGTGCAGGGGTGGACTGACAACTCATGGGGCCCCCGGACAATAGGGGATCATGGGGCCCCTGTGTCCTTGCCCAAACCCAAAAAGCCTATGAAAAAGGTACCAGGGGCATCTCATGGGGCCCCCTACTGACCCCGGGCCCTCGGGAAGTGCCCGAGTTTCCAAATGGTCAGTCCGCCCCTGGGTATGTGATCACTTATAAAAAAGGGAAAAAAGATTTTTTTTATATGTATATACAAATGTTTTTCCTTTCATTACTATTTTAACTTGAATGGATTGTTTTACAAGATGAGGTTCACATAAGGGCCCACTTTTATTACACAAAATTAAAGTAAAGCTCACAGCACATTAAAATATAATCCTGTTTTATATACAGTACCCAGCTAATAAAACATAGTTTTCTAAGTGCATTTTTTGCATTCACAACAGCAGATGTAGTTGCTATCCTTGTTTGAATGACCAACTCACATTGCAAAGTTTAAAAATAAGATTTTGCATCACTCACATGTCATTGCTATGAGTGATTATATAGTCCTATTAAATACAGGATATGGGTTGTTATCCATTCAAATTCACCTGTAATTGTAATTAAGAGTTAGAGATGAGCGTAAGTGCTTCTTGAATCATCTCTAGTTGAACCCCAATTTCATGCTTTTTTGTAAGTCCAATGAGCTGCAAGCTGGCTCAATCCTGCCCCGCAGCCTGCCTCTTTGTTTACGTGAGATGCAGGGTAGGAATGACCTGACTTGCAGCTTATTGGAGTATAAGAAGAGCGTGAATTTGGAGTTCAGTTAGAGATGGTATTGTGCAGCTGAGGACGTGATACTTGTTAAAGAACTCTGTTCAAAAGTTTATAGTGTATATAAACTGTGTATGAGAGATGAAGTGTCCAAGTGTCACTAAACGATTGATTTAATAAAAAGTGAAGGTGAGGGAGGTTACCACCATCAACCAATATTGAGAAGAAGCCTTTTTTTTAAATTCTCCTGTCTATTGGATGTTTAACCACTTCAATACCGAGCGCTTTTACCCCCTTCCTGCCCAGGCCAATTTTCAGCTTTCAGCACTGTCACAGTTTGAATGACATTTGCATGGTTATGCAGCAATGTACCCATATGAAATTTGTATAATCTTTTTGAGACAGATCGATTGTGGTAGTTGATCACCACTGGAACTTTTTTTTTTTGC